TCGAATTTCCAAGTTTCTTGTAAATTCGATTTTCTAGAATCTAGAAAATCCTCAGGGAATTTATATATGGACTTTTTGAAAATCGCCGAGCATTTTCTATAAATAATTCCCGACATTACAGTGTATTTAACTTTTTTTTAACCAAAAGGTATCTGGACGGTAAATAAAGAGATAAAACACTTGTTTACAAAGCTTCATAAAAACAAGCTCCATTTAGTTCTAGGCAACATTGCTAAGACGTCTTTTTGTAAACGAGTAATTAAACAAAGCAATTTTGCTATATTTTCGAAATATAACATGTGTTTTAACCAATAGGATGTATATTAAAATATACTTTATAAATATACACAGTCATCAGAACTTTCCAAAAACTGTTTAATGGAAGTTTAGCTTTTTTAAACTGACTATTACTTTCCAAGAAATATTACATAACTACAAATAAGTGGGACAAAAGCTTCATTTACTGAGCTAGAGAATATATCCGATAAAAATTTCATTTCTGTCGTTTTCAATCTAGATTAATAGAATTTTGTAGAGATTGAAATGCTGCATCTCCAGAGAGGAAACTTTGGATCATTCATTGCTTCTCAGATGGAATATTTCGAAAAGAGTAAATGTCGCAAAACTTTTGGGACACCTGATAATATAGAATAGTGTGGTTTTGAAAGAAACTTGTTTTACAAATCAACTATTTGACAATTGTGCATGTCAATAGGTAATGATTTCTTGAAGATCGATGGCAGCAAAATAATTCTCAATATTGAAAGCTAATCGGAAAGGCATCTTTAGAGTTAAGGTTGTGATACTGTATACGATCATAATCTTTTCATCTCGTTAGAGATCCGAAGAGATACATCAGTGCATGAAAGAAAGTTTCGTCAATCGATCGATGTCATCGATAGTAGAATTATTTCAGTAGGTATTTGCAACATTTATCTGTAAAGTTATTGTTTTCAAATCGATTTTCTTTGAAACTGTATCATCTTGCCTATTGATTTCGATGTTCAATCGATATGGATGATTCAGCTCAAAAGAAATATCTATTTGAATAGCATACCTTCTCTGTTATAGATGAACACAACAAGAATAATGTTGATAAATTCAAGTTCAAAAATTCATTCTGCATTCTTGAGAAACACTTATGATGGGTGCGACAGAAAAATGATGTTATTTATATTTCGTGCTGTTCTCGACTAACTTACATTGAAGAAATCTGTGCTTAGTCTCAAAAGATCCTCTAGTCAATGTCCCATCTTATTTATGCTTCTAAACTTATCCTGTGATACAATGATTGCATTTTGTCAAATGCAATAACTCCGTAATTTGAAAAACTTCTTCGGTCTTTCTTCCCTCGAGATTTGACTTTTTAAATAAACTTACTAGAAATTTTCTAACCAAGTTATAACTTACTTTTCAGTAACTGTCTCATCAACACTTGCCGCTTGAGAAAAAACTCCGACAACGTTACACTGAATTCAATTGCTTTTGAGCTGAGATCAAATTTCATTGTTAAAATCTACGTAATAAGTCAATAGTGTAAGATTAATTCAATTTTTATGATCTTTGTCGCTAAAATGCTGTTCAACAGCATACTGTTGAATGTATAGTGGAGTTTCAACACATTCAGAAATGTGGTAATCTTCGAAGCAATTCTTGATATTGTCAAATTTTTGGATTCACTATAATAGTGATTATCATCTTTTATGTATTAATATTTATAACTAAACAAGTTAATAGTTCACACTTTTGGGAAAATGCTTCCAAAAATTGTGAGCACTTTGATATTGACTACAAAGACGAATAGAAACATGTGCTGACAATAAATAGAACTAGATTGTGATGTTTGCTCATTGCCTTAGAGCTAGTCGCAGCTACAAATTCTCTGTTCCAAACTCAATTTCCTAAAACAGCTCGAATTCTGAAACAAAAAAAAAAGAATCGCTATCGGCCAAGAGAAAGTCCCTTTCAAAGTCATACTTCAACGTTAAGGATGATTCTATGTCAGATATATCGTTTCGGATTAAACAAATTGTTGCCGGTGGAAATGAAGAAGGAAGTGAGACTCATCAGTTGTCTAACCCATTTGATGTGATTGCCGACAAAGAGAGAGATAGTCTCATCATCTGCGATAGTTCGAATAAAAGAGTGGTTCGATGGTCTCGTCGAAATGGGACAAGTGCAGAAACAATCATCTCCAACATCAATTGTTACGGTTTGACAATGGACGAGAATGGATCTCTCTATGTCGTTGACGGTAGAAAACATGAAGTGAGACGATATCAAAGAGGAGAATCTCAAGGAATAGTGGTTGCAGGTGGCAATGGAAGTGGAAATCGTCTCGATCAACTCTATGGCCCACACTACGTATTCGTCGATCGAGATCATTCAGTATACGTGTCTGATTGGGAAAATCATCGTGTGATGAAATGGGTGGAAGGTGCAAAATAAGGCATTGTCGTGGCTGGTGATCAAGGAG